CCGAGCCGAAATCTGGGGATTTGATATATTGTTTCAGCGTAATATTGTATAATAGAGTAATATAAAATACTTCCTCATTCATGAAGAGCCTCATTAAAGCTTGTTAAGAATAAATTGAATTTAATCGTTACTCTTTCCCATTTCCCCCTTCTTTATTGTTATATGTGGGCTATATTTGAGGATATTTTGGTGACTTTTAAAATATATTATAAAGATGTTAGTACAACTTTGTTATATCCTATATAGGAATATAGTAATTCTAATCTATAGTTTTCAACTTTTACCTATATTGTTTTTTGTGAATTAAGATTGATTTTTTTTTTCCTTAAAGAAATTGAATTCCCCTACGTTGTCTGTGAATAGTGAAGGATTTATACCCATGCTGGCCAAGTTAGACGATTGTATAACATACATATCATCTCATGTAAGTCGTGGTATTTTTATGTTTTTAAGAAATCTTAATATTCTTGTTTTGTCACTTGTGTTGTAATTATTTTTACTGAAAGAAAATAATTATGTAAATATGTATTGAAGAAGAAATGTAGTGAATTCATAGTTGTTATCAGAAGTGGACTAAAAAGTACTTTTAGTTCCTGAGGTGTCTCTTGAAGTGGAAAGGGTCCTGGCTGACCCAGTTTTACCTAGAAGAGTGAGCCATTTTTAGGTTGTCCTGATATGTAGTATATTTCTTTGGAAACAGAAAGGATCAACTTGGGGAGAAGTAAACAGACAAGCTTTTTGACATAATCACCTCCTATTTCTATCTCCCAGGGATTTATTGCTGTATATATTTCCCCTAAATCCTATTCTTTTCCTGGTTGGTCCTTACATGTTAGCCTTAAAGTCTGTAGGGTGCTGCAGATACGTTATGCTAACAACTGTAAATATTTATTGAACCCCTACTTTGTGCCAGGAATTGGGGCCTTGGCTATAACTAAGATAGCCACAGACTCATATTCATGGATTTATAATCTGCATTAAGCTTTCTATGGGCTTTATATATTATTTTACATAAAGGACTCCTTAGTTTTCATTAAAAGCTTGCTTTTTGTCAATTTTGTTTCCTTTTGTAAGTCTTTCTCTTTTCCTTACAGCCTAATTTTAAAGATTATCCTGTATATTTGCTGAAGTTTAAACAATGTCTTTCTAAAGCTTTACACCTCATGAAGACATATATTGTGAACACACTACAGACTCTTACAAATCAGTTACTAAAAAGGGTAAGTTAACTTGTCTCAATAGCAAGTTTTTTTCACGTTTGATTCATTTATATTCCATAATCTTTGAAATTAATACTATGCAATTCTAAGAAAATTGTACCATTTATTAAGTAAGAATATTTTTCCCTATGTATATAAAACTGCAGTACATAGGGAAAAATAGCCATTTTAGAAATGTCCCTTGCAATCTTATTTTCAAATAATATTTATCAGTGTGAGAAATATCTGGTAATATATGATGAATAGTTAAATAAGATATGAAGAACAGTAGAACCTCTGTACGTTGACCATCCAAGAGACTGTAACGAACTGGTCAACATACAGAGATGATCAACATAAGGAACTAGGCCTACCGTTCTGTGTACTGATATATACATGTGGTACCTGTCTGGTTTATGAAAATTAGATCAAGTTAAAGAGGTGGTCAGTGTAGGGAGGTGGTCAACTATGGAGGTTCTACTGTATTTTTTTTTTTTTTGGAGACAGAGTCTCACTTTGTTACCCTTGGTAGACTGCAGAGTCTCACTTTGTTGCCCTTGGTAGACTGCCATGGCATCATAGCTCACAGCAACCTTAGACTCTTCGGCACAAACGATTCTCTTGGCTCAGCCTCTGGAGTAGCTGGGACTATAGTACCCGTCACGATGCCCGGCTATTTTTAGAGGTAGGATCTTGCTCTAGCTCCAGCTGGTCTCAAACCTATGAGCTCAGGCAGTCCACCCACGTCAGCCTCCAAAAGTGCTGGGATTACAGGCATCAGCCACTGCACCTTGCCCTGTATTTGTTTCTTAAAACATTTCCTTTCTGTCTTTTTTGTGAAAATATTAGAAGGAAATACACCAAAATAATAAAAGTGGTTTGAATGATAGGATATGCTGGATAATTTAAACCTTTCTTCTTTATATTTGTTTGTTTTTTTTCTTTTTTATATTTAGCACACATTTTTGTTGAGCATCTCTTAGTGCTTGGTGTTGTATTAGGAACTATGCAATAGCAAAGAGGAGCCGACAAGGTCTCTGCCATCATGGAGCTTATATTCAGGAAAAATAATCTGTAGAGAAGGAAACATTAATTATAGTTCATAGTAGAGTCTGGGTAGAAAATTAGTAGGATGTTGGGTTAGAAAATAAGAGTTGAGCTAGCTAGGATGGTCATGGGTCATATTTCTTTTCTAAGCAGATAAAACCATAAAGGTCATGTTTTATTTTTTAAAGTTGCTTTCTAAACAGCATGAAATATTTGCTTGAACTTGCAATTCAAAGCCAGTAATTTGGAGGCTGCCTTTTTACTGTTTACATTGTTCTTAACTGACATAACAGTTGAACTATATATTTTTCTATTCAGCAAAATTTCTAGTAAATTTAGGAAACTAATATCTAATAAGGACTAGCTACACAAAACCTCTGCAAGGTAAATATATGGTAATTTAACGGATGCACTGAATCGCAGAGTGATTAAGTAATTTGGCCAATGTCCTACACTCAATAAATGACAGTATGAATATGAATTTGGGTTTGCTTACCACCCAAATTCAGATAACATGGGGTAAATTTTAATTATAAAGAAGAGCGATGACAGAACCAATTAATTATTACTCATTTGTAGCAGTAATGGTATTTAATCTCTCTTTTGAGATTTTTCTCTAAGCTTTTGGTTGGAATGTAGCCAACCATTAGCCATATGAAATGGTTAGTGTCCAGTTTTTGAATAATTGTTTGCTAATTTGAATAATTATTTGCTATCCTCCTTCACATTTCTTTTAGGATCCTTCATCTGTACCTAATGCAGATAATGCCTTTACACTATTTTATGTGAAATTTCGAGCTGCTGCCCCCAAAGTCAGAGTAAGTCTATTGACATACATAGGATATTGCTATGAAATTTATTCAACCAGGCCTTTTGAAATACTGTTGTATGTTAAGCACTTTGCTTAAGCCAGGGAAATTCTGTATTACAGCAGTGTATCTTAGAGGTGCGTCCTAGGTGCTTGAAGTCCACAGAGATAGAAACACCTAGCTCTTCCTGTGATGCTCAGGGATGATTTTTAGATGAAGGGTGATAGTTGAGCTTAAAAAGTTCAGGTAGTGGACTTGAAGGAATGGATAAGGAAGGGCATTTTATATAGAGAGAACAGCACATATAGGGAAGGTTGTAGAGACCTAAAAGACCTGCATTTGGGGAGTGCTCTGGTAATTTGTTATGATGGGAACATAGGACATTAGTGGAGTATGAGGAGAAAGAAGTTAGGAAAGATGACAAGGACAGTCTCACAGGGGAATATTACATGTCATGTTAGTTCAAGTAATATAGTTAGTAGTAGTTAGTGAAGTAATATCTTAACAGGGAGTGATTTGGTCAGGTTTGCCAAACAGACACATAGACCAATGGAACAGAATAGAGAACCCAGAAATAAATTCACATACAGCCAACTGGTGTTTGACAGAGACATCAAGAATATTCAATGGGGAAAGGGCCGTCTTTTCAAAAAATGGTGCTGGGAAAACTCAGTATCAATATCTGACAGTTCTTAACAAAAATAAGTAAAGAATAAAAAAGAAAAAATAAAATAAAAAAGATGGAAAAAGCTCCTGAATATCTATATGCAAAAAAATGAAACTAAGCTTCTATCTCTTATCACATAAAAAAATCAAGTCAGAATGGATTAAAGACTTAAATATGAGGCCCCAAATTATAAAACTACTATACAAAGGCATAGGAGGGGTTGGTTCGATGGTAGTGGGTTATCAGAACTTAATAACATTAGTGTCACTATAATTGGTATATAATTCCCCCCCCCCCACTGCTAAATTTGACTGGCTAAAAGTAAAAAAGCATAGGAAAAATGCTTTAGGACTTTGTTCTAGGCAAGGATTTTATGGCTAAGACTTCCAAAGCACAGGCAACAAAAACAAAGGTAGGCCGGTGAGATTGTATTACACTAAAAAGCTTCTGCAGAGCAATGGAATTGATAACCAGAGTGGAGATAACTTGTACAATGGAAGAAAATATTTTCAAACTATTCATCTGACAAGGGACTAATACCTAGAATATACAAGGAATACAACAGTGAAAAATCAAATAATTCTATTAGAAAGTGGGTAAAGGGCTCGGCGCCTATAGCTCAACCGGCTAAGGCGCCAGCCACGTACACCTAAGGTGGCGGGTTCGAATCCCCAGCCCGGACCCGCCAAGCAACAATGACAGCTGCAACCAAAAAATAGCCGGGCGTTGTGGCGGGCGCCTGTGGTCCCAGCTACTTGGGAGGCGGAGGCAGGAGACTCGCTTGAGCCCAGGAGTTGGAGGTTGCTGTGAGCGTGATGCCATGGCACTCTACTCAGGGGGACAGCTTGAGGCTCTGTCTCAAAAAAAAAAAAAAAAAAAAAAAAGAAAGTGGGTAAAGGACACAAATAGACATTTCTCAAAAGAAGACATACAAATGGTCAATAGGTATGTGAAAAAAATGCTTAATGTCACTAATCATCAGAGAAAAGCAAATCAAAACCACAGTATCTTCTCACCCACATGTGAGAAGATATATAATTATCTTAAATATATATAATTGTTACCGATTTAAAAAGTTTAAAGATACAATAATATCAAGAATAGATTATGGTAAAGAGAAGATTTGAGACAGGGAGGCCTAATTAACAAGAAGATTTTGTAGTAATGTAGATAAGAAGTAAGGGTTGAACTAATGGATTGGTAATATATTCCATGAGGCTGGGTGTATGCCTTATTTATCCATCTTAGTGGTATCTGGTACATAAAAGAATGCACCTGTATTCGTCTGATTAAGTGATTAGAGTGGAAGTCAGAGTATAACATATCTGAAATATGTTTAATTGGAGCTAGTAGTACATGTATATTCTTTCTACTCATTGTGAAGTTGCTAGAAAGAATAATCTGCTTTGGGTGGTGCCTGTAGCTCAAAGGAGTAGGACGTTGGCCCCATATGCCGGAGGTGGCAGGTTCAAACCCAGAACCCAGCCAAAAACTGAAAAAAAAAAAAAAAAGATCTACTTTTGCTGACTCTGATTTCATTCCCTCCTTTCCTTTTAAAAGTTAGCCATTTGAAATGAAGTTTTTTTGAAGTGGGAAAATACTTATTCTTGTTTATGGAAGATATTAATATAATGGATGGCATGAAATATAGATTGTACCTGATTGATTACTTTTGCATATTAGCCAAAGACTAATGATAAAAGTTTGATTAGGAAAGAAATGGTATAGGTAAAAGGGCTTAGTATGGTGGGTGATTATAAAATAATTATGTAAGTGGCATTCCTACGTACCAGTAAGTAGCCAGTTAGCATATGTGATAAAGCCCTTTTGTATTAGTGACAGAGAGCATACTTACCAATAACGTTAGTGGAGATACAAGGATGAAGAAATGACAAAACCAGACAGAATGTCATAAAATATTGAATAGTAAGCCCATCCTGTTCCTGACAGAGGAGACTAACTTTTCAAAATATTAGTTTCTCCCAGTGTAATGTATTGGTTGGAATGTACTCCCAGCAAAAAATTCCAATGAAATTCCTTTTTTCTAAGCTTTTGTCTGGTGAACAGGTGAGACTAAACAAGAGAATTTTGAAAAATACACTGTGTCATTGATTCAAGAATTCATTGGGTGATCCCTGGAACAGAAAGTTTTAGAACTTAGTATATAGAGAAACATCAGAAAGAAATCAGAAAGAAAGAGCTGAAGTTTTCTATGGTATTGGGAAGCTTTGCTAAATATTTGGGAAATAAAAATAAGCTTTTCATTTTATAACATTACCAGAAGAATACATTCCAACTGAGCTAAGGAGTTTTAAATATAAAAATGAAGACCAAGCCAAGCAAACAAAAAACTAGAAAAAATTACTGGAAAAAAAACTACACAATGGTATAAAAATAAAGTAAAGGCAAACTGAAGAGAATGTTTGCAACAGATAAGAAGGTTAATCAGTATAAGAAAGATGAATATCTAATATAAAATGACCCAATCACTCTCGGAAAATGTGGAAAATACATGCAAGTTTAGGTTAGGTGGCATTTTTTTGGCTGTCAGAAATTGGCATTTTAAAGTCTGTACTTTTGAGGATTTGATGAGACAGGTAGTGCTGCTGATAGGAATGTAAATAGCTCCTTTTCTTAAAAACATTTTTGGAGAATAGATCAAATGCTTAGAAAAATACATGTCTCTTTGATCCAGTATGTTGAAGTCCCCACCTGAGATGTAAGCACTATTATTATTCCAGATTTATTTATTTATTTATTTTCATAGCTCACATTAACCTCAAACTCTTGGGCTCAAGCTATCCTCCTGCCTCCATCCGAAGTAGCTGGGACTATCGGCGCCTGCCATAGTACCTGGCTAATTTTTCTATTTTTAGTAGAGACAGGGTCTCACTCTTGCTCAGGCTGGTCTTAAACTCCCGAGCTCAGGCAATCCACCCACTTTGACCTCCCATAGTTTAGGATTACAGATGTGAGCCACTACTCCTCTGGTTATTCCAGTTTTATCTAGCAAGAAGTGGAATCTTAGAGAAATGAGGCAGCTTGGCTGGGCTTAAACAGCTACTAAGGAGCTTGCCCTTGAACCCTATAGCTTCATTCTAGACGCTTAACCAATGAGCTTTTAATTTTTTGAAATAGCCTTGGTGTCTTAACAGTAGAAGAATAGTTGACTTACGGTACTTCTATCCAATGGGATATTATATAGCCATTGAATGTAATGTTTTAAATGCTGTTTATAAGGACGAATCATTGTTTACTAGGTAGTAGCTAATGGGCTAAGTTTTCCAACACATTTTCATCTCATATTGAAAATTATTTAATGATAGGAAAATGGTTATAAAATAATTTTTAGAAAGTAGATTATAAAGCTGAATATATAGTGTAATTCCAGTTGTGTTTAAAAAGAATATAACTGGATACAAAAACTGAAAGAAAATAATACTGAAATATTAACTATTTTTTGGTATTTAGGTGACTTTCATGATTTTTATTTTCTTATACTTAAAGTTTTCTAACTGAACATGTGATAATGTTATAATCAAGAAGTAATGGATAGTATAATTACAACAGGTTTTTTTTTTGGAGGCAGAGCCTCAAGCTGTCGCCCTGGGTAGAGTGCCGTGCTCAGCTCACAGCAACCTCCAACTCCTGGGCCCGAGCGAGTCTCCTGCCTCAGCCTCCCAAGTAGCTGGGACCACAGGCGCCCACCACAATGCCTGGCTACTTTTTTTTTGGTTGCAGCCATCATTGTTGTTTGGCGGGCCCTGGCTGGATTCAAACCCCCCACCTTAGGTGTATGTGGCTGGTGCCTTAGCCACTTGAGCCACAGGCGCCAAGCCAACAACAGGTTTTTTTTTTAATGTATTTTTCCTTTCTTTGCAGACTCTTATTGAACAAATAGAACAACGATCTGAAAAAATGCCTGAGTGAGTATCTAGAAGTTCTTTGATTTCCAAATTAGCTTTCTCTTGTAGTGCTGTTTTTCCAAGTCTGGATATGTCCGTGATGTTTTTGAGCAGTTACCTCTAAGTTTGTTTTTGTAACACACAATTCTTTGGGGAGCAAGGTCACATATCTGACTTAGCAAGTTCACATAATAGCAGTTGGGCCGCTGTGAGGTCCTTCTTCTTGGAACAGAAATCCTTTTGTAAAAGAAAATCTTATGGCACCACAGTCCATCATGGCTTGTTTTATATCTGTTTTTGTGGTACTTGATGTGGGGAAATGAGAGGTGACCTTTATAGCTTTAGAGGTTTGGCAGGCTACTCTGGGATTTAAGATGAGATTTAATTTACATATCTGAATCAAAAGTTTTTACTGCAGTCTTGTTTGCTTGCCATCAGATATCAACAGCTGCTAAACGATATTCACCAGTGCTACCTTGATCAGCGGGAGCTCCTATTGAGCCCTAGTATTGCTTGTACTGTCACAGAGTTAACCAGCCAAAATAACAGAGATCATTGTGCCTTGGTAAGTTTCTGCTTGTTTTGGTTTAATGTTAAACCTTTCTCTGAGCTATGTTGACACCTTAGAAGCTATAAGTAAGTTTTGGTTCCCCTATGGCAAATCTGCTTTGGTAATTAGCTTTATTCGATATTGCAAAATAGTCTCATTTTCATTTGCTTTTTATGGTTTGAATATTCACAAATAAGTATTGATCCTTGAAAGACGAGGTTTTAAAGTTTGTAGATTTATAGTGCCAATTTAATTTTAGCTTAGCTTTTGCTGAAGAAGTGCCTTTCTCTTTAGTGTAATTTAATCCATACCATCAAAAAATACATAAGTATTCTTTGTTTTTAATAATCCTTTGGCCTAGAAAAGTAACATATTATCAAAAGTTTAGAAAATAAAATATTAAGAAAATAAAAATCACCTATAATCCCATTATATAGTAATCTATTGAAAACCAGCCATTTTCTGTTCTTCAGTAAGTTATTTTATGAATACATGTGCATAATTTCTTTGCAAATAAAGTATAAGCTTATTTCATAAACTCTAGAAATGTATATGCCTTTAACTGTAGGTGGTATGTGTTTGTTTACTACAGGTTCGCAGTGGCTGTGCCTTTATGGTCCATGTATGCCAGGATGAGCACCAACTTTACAATGAATTTTTCACAAAACCGACACCAAAATTAGAGTAGGTGGTACATAGAATATAACTTTTTTTGATAAAGATTTAATTTGCTAGTGACCATAAAATGTATAGTATGTTAGCAGTGTTTTAACTTTTTTCTGTGTATGAACAGAATATCATTGGGTTGGACAGTGGTTATTTTCTTAAGATAAATGTACTGCTTAAAGGCCAAAATGCTTTCATATTGCTTGTAATATAATTATGGAGACATTATAGTGTGATAGAAAGAACTCTACTGGGAACTAAGTCTTGGGATCTAGATCCCTTTACCTCCATTATATACAATAATTCCCTCAAGATTCTATCATATGATTCTAACTAATGAAAGATAATTCAAAATACAAGTGCAATTTATAATAACCTTTTCTTTATTTTATCAAAGATCTCCTGTTACTTTCACTTTTTTCTGTTGGCTGCTTTGACTCATGTGACTCTTATAATGGGGAGGAGAAAAATATTTTATGGTTTTGATTGGAGTGATCACTTTTGATGAATAACAAATATTATTCTTAGAGAATATTATTCTATTATATTTGTCTATATTCTTCATATACAGAAGAGTATTAATGACAATATGAAGAATACAGATAACTTAATTTTTTCTTTTCAAATATTTAAAACTTTTAAAAATACTTGATCTGTGTCTAAAGTACTTTGAGTTTTGCTTATCTAAATCTATAAGTATTCAAGAATTTTGAATCTGTCTTTCCTGGGGAACAAAATTCCATTTGACTCATAGTGACTAGAATATAAAAGTTAAGTCTACTGAAATATTTTTCATTGTTTTTAAAAGGACACATACACAATTATTGCTGAAATAGATAAAAGTTGTAATAGGTTGACTTTTGGTTGAGGGCAGCTAGTTTGAACTGACTATTGTGGAATGCTTATTGATTATAAATTTCTACTGCAAAAATAGGTTATAAAATTATTTCAGCCTTTCTCTTCTTATTTTATTGTGTTCCCAAATACTCTTTTCCAATAGACATTGATATTTTTATTGGTTAGAAGAAACCAATGAGGCTTTTAAAACTATTAGAAAATTCTGAAAAGACAACTACTAAAGCCTTGTTTTATTCTTTCTTTTTAGTGAGCTGTTAGAGAAACTGTGTGTGTCATTATATGATGTCTTCAGGCCATTGATCATTCATGTCATTCACTTAGAGACCCTGTCGGAACTTTGTGGGATTCTTAAAAATGAGGTGCTTGAAGATCATGTACAAAACAATGGTAAATAAGTAGAAATGATAATTTCAGGGTCTTTTTAATTATATTGGTGGCTTGATGAATTTGAAAAAATTAAATCCTACTTCTTCCATCCCCTAAATACATTAATATTTTTGAAGCTTGGGTTGATGCCTTGCCCCTTTTTGAATAAAGATACACTTTATTCTGTGCCTAAAGGTACAAATTAAATAGGGAAAGAATTTTTAAATTCCGGGCAAAGTTAGTAATAAAATAATTATAATCACTTTTCTTTCTGGCATCTGGAATTCAGAAGGACTTGACAGTTGCTTCTAGGTTAGGGATTACTAATACACTGTGACCAGAATATATCAAGTAATGGACTGTGTTGCATATTTTTGATTAAAAAAAGCGAATTATTTTAGAATCCAATGTACTCAATTCTAATATGAAGACAGTAGATGACCTAACACATAGTGGGGGGTAGGGGAATGAGGGAGCAGGGAGACCAGAGGAAAGAAAGGGTTGGTGGGGGGGGGTCATGGTGTGTGACACACCTCTTGGAGGTGGGACACAATTATAAGAGGGAATTTACCTAACAAATGTAATTAGTGCAATCTAATTCTTTGTACCATCAATGAATCCCAATTAATAAAAAATAATTATATAGCATACATACATAGTAGTGATTCATCTTTTTTGAAATTACAAATAAAAGCAGTTCTCTGCAATATTTCTTTATCCATCTGATATAATCTTCAATATTTGATTTGATTGTTATAGAGAACATGATTTCACTAACTTTGGTACCTTTAAAAAATACCTGTCAAGGATGGGTGTTGTGGCTCATGCCTACAATCTCAACACTTTGGGAGGCTGGGGTAGAAGGATCATTTGAGGCCAGGAGTTGAAGACCAGTCTGGGCAACTAGTGAGCTTCCCATCTCTACCAAAAAAACAAAACAAAACAAACATTTGCTAGGCACATTGGTGCACTTGGAGTCCCAGTTACTTCAGAGGCTAAGGCAGGAGGATTACCTGAACCCAGCAATGTGAGGCTGCAGTGAGGTATGATTGTGCCATTGCACTATGACCTGGATGACAGAGCAAGATTCAATCTCAAAGAAAAAAATACTCTGGAAGTAATTATTTTACTGGCAGAATTTATCATCCTTCCATTGGCTTTCATTGGGAGACACTGAATTTGTTACTCTTACAGGGTTATTATTCTACGACCTTTAATTTATTCTAAGGTGAACATTTTCTCACATTTTAATACTTCTGAATTTAAGATGATTTTTAAATTAATATGAGTTTTTTAATGTGATAATGTACTATCTCTTAGCCCTTGGAAAACTGTTACTGAATTACTAGCATCTTAAATTGCTGACATCTTAGAAATGAAAAAGAATTATATTTGATTTTTTACTTCTTTTTCTTTTTTTTTTTTTTTTTGAGACCAAGTCTTATTATGTCACCCTCAGTAGAGCGCTGTGACATCACAGCTCACAGCAACCTTCAGCTCTTAGGCTTAGGTGATTATCTTGCTTCAGCCTCTAGTGTAGCTGGGACTACAGGCACCTGCCACAATGCTCAGCTATTTTTTTCTTGCAGTTTGGCCTGGGTCAGGTTTGAACCTGCCACCCTCCGTAGATGGGGCTGGTGCCCTACTCACTGAGCCACAGGCACTGCCCAGCAAAAACACTCTTAAAATTCAGATTTTCTTATTCATATTAATAATAGAATCAGTTTAACAGAGTTCCAGGAAAGAAGTACAGAAACAAATTTATTTCTTAGTTTTAAAATTGAGGAAATTGAAACACTTACTAAACTTCTCGAAGGTCATTGAGTCATCCTGAAATATAACTACAGTCTCTGAAACAAAAGTGGTTCATATCGATTCTGAGCAATTTAGTTAATATCTTTGTTTAAAATAAAGTATTTTTCTAAATCTAAAAGAATTGATGATTACACTTTTTTATCAGCTGAACAACTAGGGGCATTTGCAGCTGGAGTCAAGCAGATGTTGGAAGATGTGCAAGAGCGGCTGGTCTACCGAACGCATATCTACATTCAGACAGACATTACGGGCTACAAGCCGGCTCCAGGAGATCTGGCATACCCAGATAAGTTAGTCATGATGGAGGTAGGGTCTTCTTACTTCCTCTCCCCCCTACCCTACAGCTTTCAGATCTTTTGTACTAGTTAAAAAAGGATTTTTCTTCATAACAAATTTTTTGTAGAAACAGAGTCTTGCTTGTTACCCAGGCTTGAACTCCTGGCCTCAAGTGCTCCTTCCACCTTGGCCGCCAAAAGTGCTGGGATTGCATGTGTAAGCCGCTGCACTTAGCTGGAAACTTTTATTTTTAACACGACTATAAGGCAATTATAATGCATAAAAACACTGATTCTTTAATATCGTCAAATAACTAGTTGACGCTAGGATTTTTTTTTCAGATGCATCAGATGTTAATGTTTTATTTATCTCAGTACGTTATGTATATGTATATTTTGTTACTGAACCATTTTTTTTTTTTTTTT